TCCTGCCCCCGCGCTGGGGGCTCAATCCTGGCTTGTTGGTGCCATCCTGGAACCACCTGCAGCACCTGGCCAAAGGAGAGCCCGGGAGCTCAGCCTCCGTGGGGAGGGTGCTGGGTCCTGGCCGTCACCGAGGATGAGGATGGAGGCAGAAACCTTCCCCCTTCCCTGGGAGGAGCTCATTCCCATGCAAAGCTGGGCTGGAATCACACCTCGGCACATGTGCCAGCAGCTGCGATACCCACGTGAGGCAGGTATCGATGCATACGCTGAGCACGAGGCAGAGGGGGAGTCGGGCCCACTGTGTTTTCTCTCTTTTGTCTTTTCCCCTCCCATTATACTGAAATACCGCATATTCAAAAGAGCTTTCCAAAGTCAGGAAAGGTTTAGGAAGAGTTGCTTGAAATATCTGCTCAAAACTTAGCCCAAAGCGGTCCTTTTATAATGAAGTCACTAATTCAACTACTCATTTATCGTACCCACACAGCATCAAATGCATGAAATGCCTGAAAGGGGTTTCCAATACCATTCCACGCTAAAAAAGGAAATGACCAGGAGTTCCTCTAATGGAAGCTATTTGCTGTAATAACATGTCGTGCAGAGCTATAGTGCTCTAAGTGTTTTGGGCAAATAAGAAAGCATAGATGGAAAAAAATGCGGCAATATTGTCTCAGCAGCATCTTCCAAACTGTCTCTTACAATGGCCTGATCTAATCAATATGGATAAAAAAGCATTTTTAAAATTACTAGTCTCATTTTTAAGCTGACTTCAGGTCTAGGATACAAACAACTTCTGTACTGTTCCAAGTGATGGAATTGCTTTACAATTCTCTTTTGTGCAAAATTGCTATTGCAAAGAAACCAAGCAGTACATCCAAGACCGGGCATTTTTCAGGCTATGCTATAAGACCAGAGGACAGGACTCTCTAAGGAATGTAATGTAACTAGGAAAAAACCCACTGATTTTATATAAAACACTCTGGTCCCATAGAAGATGGTAAGCACTAGAACAGATCTACTTTAATTAGCTAATTCAGTTAGCTACTGTGATTACCAAATCCTACAGTAACCTACAGTAAGTGTTCCATCTCACTTGTAAAATGATGTGTGTCTAACACACAGTCAAGATATATCTAGTTTCAGTTATCCATATATGTACATACATAAACCTGACACCATGGATATTAATACTTAATATTCAAAACCTATTTCAGCAGTCAATATCCTGAGCTAGCATTTATTAAATGTGAGTTACTAATGACAGTGTGTTGTGGGATGCTGTTGTGCAGAAAATGACAGACAGGGAGTTTTCTCCTCAGCTGTTCTCAAAACCACAGCTTTCTTTTTCAGCTGAATGCTCAGGAAGGGATGCATGCAGATGTTTCTCAGCAGGGGTAGTTTGGTTAAATATCCTATTTTTATTCTGTTCCCAGATATTTTCTTCCTTGTTGAATGCTTATACTGGCAGCCAGATAAACAGGAGAAGAACTCAACACTTGTCAAGAACACCGCGTCATATTAGACAATTTCCAAAAGACAACACCAGATCAGCAAAAGCCATTCTTCCTCCTTACAAATAATGCCAATAAGATGGGACATGAGTGTGTTAATGCTGAAAGACATTCAGCAATCAGCGCTATAACCTCTTGCTTTTGCTTCAAGGTTTTTTTGCTTTTTTTTTTTTTTAAAAGCTGAAACCCAGAAGCTATCAGAGACCATGCAATCCTTCAGAGCAGCAATGACTTCCAATAATTAACACTGAGAATATGATACCTACTTACATCAACTACAAAGATCTTCTGGGAGTCATCCAGAAACTGGACTTTCAGGTGCAGCATCCTCGAGCGTGTGGCTGAGCGTGCAGCAGGCGCGGGAGTCCTAGCGATGTGAGCGGTGTGCCGGGAAGGGAGCCCCGACTCCTCTTGCACACACAATTTCCCTCAGCTGGATGGAGCAGGCTGCAGTCACAGATGTGGAGCGGAGGCTGGAGCAAAGGAACTGAATGCCTAAAAACAAGTTTAAAAAAAATACTGATACCTCCCCTGGTTTAAATATCACCACTGCATTAAAGGATATTTTCCCTGTGTGAATTATGGGTCTATTAATAGGGGGAAGGCTGTGCAGCAGCTCTGCGAGAGTGGCACTAATAGGGCTGAGATAAACACAGAGCTTTTACAGCTGGGGGTGAGCAAGGCGAGGGCAAAGCGAGCCCACGCTTCGTACTGCAGGGTCGGGGACGAAGAGCTGAGCAGTTCTCCTGCAAAAGTCACCGAGCAGCAAGTGCTGTCTTTTCTCTGTCCGGGTTAAGGTGCACTAGCAGAGCAGCCGGCTGGCAGCTGTGCTCGCTCCGTGGGGTGGGCAGACAGGGTCCCATCTGCTGAGCGGATGTGTGCGGACCGGGCAGATGGGCTGGTGTACTTCACCGGAGACTGGGAAGTGTTTCCAACCAAACTTGAAACCAGGTGGGAGTCCTTCCCAGGGAGGCAGAGGAGGACCTGCTGCCAGTTCCTGGCTCACACCCTGGTTTGGCAGCTTAGTGAAGGCTCACAAGCCTTTGAGACAACCTGGCTCCCATTTCCCACCTGGAAAGCCCTTGGCCCCACACATATACGCACACACACGGCTGCGCTGCCATGTCCCAGAAGGGCAGCTAACGCAGGGCCAGTGACTTCCCAGCCCCAGAGCCAGCTGCCCACTCCCAAAGGCCCCTGGGGCTGATGCCAGGCTGCCGGGTGCAGCACCCCACAGCATGGTGGGTGCTGGGGGCTTGCCTTCACCCCCCTTCTCTGCCTCAGCTACTGCGAGGACATGATGAGCCTCCTGGCCTCTCTGGCTGCTTCATCCGGCAGAGCCCCCCGTCACTGAGCATTTAGTTTGGGCAGGACCCCCTGCTTGCACTTTTGGTGCTAATCAGTGCATTTACTTCTGCAAGGTGCTGGACTGTCAGAGGGGATCATTATTGCTGCTGCTGGAAAAAGCCACAACCATGCATGATCCTGTGGGACCCAGAGCGATGGAAACACATCCCAGCAAACCAAAAAAGCCACATGAAGTTGCTCCAGAGATTTTGCTCATTGCTCCCTTCCCGGTTTCCACTGAAATAAGTCACCCCAGGCCATTTGCTGTGATCCCTCTTATGCATCCCAAATATTCCTGGAGATGTCAGGACAGAGCCTGTCAGGGTATATACTTAGCTTGCCATCTGGGCTGCAGAGAGGAAAAACTTAGAGCTTTTTAGCTACAGAAAAATCTGCTAGCCTTCTGCTGACCAGGACAAAAACAGAAGCATAAAAGCTAAAGCAAATCTGCTTTTCCATGTGAATCTGCTCCACAAAGCAGTGGAGCTCATCTTCTGCCGGTGGCCGGGAGGGCTGGCTGTACCGAGCGTGCAGGCACTGCTGCCGAGGACCAAATTCCCAGTGCTGGCCTTGGCCCGGGCTCTGAGCTCTTTGTGTTACTGGAGAAGGGCGATGTCACGTACAAACCATCCGGGGGGGCTGAGTGCGCTTCCCCTCTGCGGTTTTAAATGTTCCTGCCATCAAATACGCTCACGCATTGCAGGCACGGCTCTGCCACGGTGGCACTGGGAGCACTGGACCAGCAGGAAGGTTGTACAGGGA